GGGCGCACCGGACCATAGGGCGCACCCAGTTTTTTGGGGGGAAACAAAGGGGAAAAAATTATTTTTCCCCCCCCAGGCGCGGGGCTGGGGCGGGGGAAGCTCGAGCTTCCCCCGACCCCAGCCCCCAAACAGGCAGCTCTCTGCAAGCCGTGGGAGCCCAGTGCTGGCTCCCGCTGCTTGTGGAGAGGTCTGTGAAGCCTGGACGCGCTGATCTCAGCCCGTGCAGGCTTCGGCATGCCGGCAACTCTCCGCAAGCAGCGGGAGCGCTCCCGCTGCTTGCGGGGAGGTCTGCGAAGCCTGGACGCGCTGAGCTCAGCACGCGCAGGCTTCGGCATGCAGACAACTCTCTGCAAGCAGCGGGAGCCCAGTGCTGGGCTCCCGCTGCTTGCGGAGAGGTGTGCAAAGCCTGGAGAGCGTGAGGGGTTGGTGCGCACCGACCCCTCTCACTCTCCAGGCTTCAGCGAAAGCCTGCATTCGCACCATAGGACACACACACATTTCCCCTTCATTTTTGGAGGGGGAAAAGTGCGTCCTATGGTGCGAAAAATACGGTAAGTACTTAACCCGAGGTACCACTGTATTATTGCTCACATGCTATTGGTAAGAAAACAAACACCACAGACTGCTTTGTTCTCCTGAATAGCTAAGTATAATGACCACAGAAATCAACTGAAAGTTAGTGCTTAGCAATTCTGTGTATTGCCCTTTGGCACGCTTCCTTACCCATTATATTCTTTAAAACTTGCTCCTTCTTTCATGGAAGGAACACTCTGTACACTGCTATAAAAATATCTGGGTTCATCTTGGTGGAGCCCTAACCTCTTAAAGAGTTTCATTTATCGCTGCTAGTGAACCACATTATACTGTTTTATAGTCCCATACACTTTCACTTGCAACATGTATTGGAAAACTGTTAGATGAACTAGGTCTCAGAAGGCCTATACATTTGTATACAGCAAGGCAACAAACATAGTTAATATCTTGGCTTGGTTTAGGAAAAGCATTATAATGAATTCAAAGCTATAATTCTCAATTTTGTGTCAAACACCTGACCATTATCTAAAGAGAGACAGTTACAGATAGGTAGCCGTGTTGGTCTGCCATAGTCAAAACAAAAAAATTCCTTCCAGTAGCACCTTAAAGACCAACTAAGTTAGTTCTTGGTATGAGCTTTCGTGTGCATGCACACTTCTTCAGATACACTGAAACAGAAGTTGCCAGATCCTTCATTAAGAGTCGTCAACAGGCTCATCTCAGCTATCTGCCAATCACCCATTCCCACCACCCTTCTGAGTAATACCCCTCCCCACCTTCTCACTATATAGAAGGATCTGGCAACTTCTGTTTCAGTGTATCTGAAGAAGTGTGCGTGCACACAAAAGCTCATACCAAGAACTAACTTAGTTGGTCTTTAAGGTGCTACTGGAAGGATTTTTTTTGTTTTTAAAGAGAGACAGTTACTATAGCCAGAAGTCAGGATATGAAATTTGGGAGGGCACAAAACAAAACCCTGGGTTGCTCTCTCCTGTGCTATCCACAAAGCTTCTCTTGAAAAGTCAGGACTCCCCCTGGCACATTCTGGGCTCTGTCATAAGAGTGGTGTGAGAGGGAGAAATTGTCCCAAATTCGAGAAGGAACTAGGAGCAAACATTGAACCACGAAAGTAACTCCCTTTCTTCACAACTCTCTGCCTTGAAGACATAAAGCACTGCCTCATTCACAAGTCTTTTCTTGTTGTTTTTCAACGTTGTACAACATTGGTGGACACAGTACTCCAGACGAGGGCTGACTCGTGCTGAATATTTGGAAACTTAAGTGTAGCTTAAAATCACATTAGCTTTTTTTGCAGCCACATTGATCCAGTAGCTCATATAGCTTAAGGCTATCTGCTCTGATTGACTGTGCCTGAGATTGTTTTAACTGGAGATACTGTAAATTGAATATGAGAACTTCAGCGTACAAAACATATGGCTTCCTGCTGAGCTATGGTCCCTCCCACAACATATTTTCTATACTGCACTCATAGTACATGAATCATTAGGCTAACTCTCAAAATAATTGACACTTTGAGAGCTGTGTGCAGAGGTCCTGCAAATAGAATGTATGGTTCTTGCATGGCTTAAGTTTGCCTGTCTAGTGTGCACCTGAAAATATTAATCTATTTAAGGCTAAATTCAGCCTATTCCAGCATTTTTGAAAAATGACAGAGACCTGAAATCAATCTCTTAAACATGAAGATAACTAGGCTACTGTATTGGCTCTTGTACACACAAGATGGATTCTCCCTCCCCCTTTAATTGTTTTTGTTTGTTTGTTTAGTCGTTTAGTCGTGTCCGACTCTTCGTGACCCCATGGACCAGAGCACGCCAGGCACCTCTGTCCTCCACTATCTCCCGCAGTTTGGTCAAACTCATGCTGGTAACCTCGAAAACACTATCCAACCATCTCGTCCTCTGTTGCCCCCTTCTCCTTGTGCCCTCCATCTTTCCCAGCATCAGTGCCTTCTACAGGGAGTCTTCTCTTCTCATGAGGTGGCCAAAGTACTGGAGCCTCAGCTTCACGATCTGTCCTTCCAGTGAGCACTCAGGGCTGATTTCCTTAAGAATGGATGCGTTTGATCTTCTTGCAGTCCATGGGACTCTCAAGAGTCTTCTCCAGCACCATAATTCAAAAGCATCAATTCTTCGGCGATCAGCCTTCTTTATGGTCCAGCTCTCACTTCCATACATCACTACTGGGAAAACCATGGCTTTAACTATACGGACCTTTGTTGGCAAGCTGACGTCTCTACTTCTCAAGATGCTGTCTAGGCCTGTCATTGCCCTTCTCCCAAGAAGCAGGCGTCTTTTAATTTCGTGGCTGCTGTCACCATCTGCAGTGATCATGGAGCCCAAGAAAGTAAAATCTCTCACTGCCTCCATTTCTTCCCCTTCTATTTGCCAGGAGGTGATGGGACCAGTGGCCATGATCTTCGTTTAATTCCCTTTAATTGACAGGCAAGATATAATTGTATCTGCACATTGTTAGGTTATTAAGGGCAATCTGCTTTGTTTATCCTCCAATGGTGCATCAGTCACTGTGGGAACCAAAATGTGTAGTGCTCAGGACCTTTACCAGCATTGATCTCCCTCTCTCCATCCTCTCTGTACCTGAAGTGGTCTCTGATGGTTGTTAACATGGCTCGGAGTTTCTGGCTTCTAAGCCCGCTATCAGATTAGATCTGTGCATTATTTCAAAGTCAATGCTACTCATTTTTTGTTCTCCCAAAATTCAGTTGATGTTTCTGTAGGTCTTGGGAACTCATCCCACCTTCTTCTTGTCCCATCCCTTAGGAGAAGGTGAATGGGGATGGGGGTAAAGAAGAGAGATTGTTTTCATGTCTTCCAGTTCTTTGTGGACCAATGGATGCATTACTGAGGCCTACATGGCTCCCTTACATTTGATGGGTATTTTATAATATTGAACCACTGGTTCAGCAAAGCTTGCTTTTGGCTGTAGCGTTTTCAAGCTGTTCTTTGTGATCCGCTGGCTGGTTCCTGTAGGGTGATCAAGAGCCTCATTTTAATCATCCCACCCTAGGTGGTGACTGCTACTGTAAAATTCAATATTGAGAGGAAACATGTGTAAGAAGGAGAGAACGAAGAACTTCATCTGACGATACCACCCTAGTCTATTCTGCTAGAATAATGAATCATTGAAGCTTTCAGGCACACACCTGCTTGGGGAAATGGGGATACTGACTTGGGAGGTGCCAACCAGTATAGTTTCCCCCTCAAAATAGTTTGGGTTATTGGTCCCCTGTGTCCACTGGTGATTGAGACACATGGCTTTAATACAGTTACAATTTTGCTGTTAGGAAATGAAATATATCTTGATAGCAGTGCATACTATTTGGAAACTACTCAGTATGTGAAGGAAAGAGACTTGGCTTCAGCCTCTAGATTTCTGCTACATGTCTGTCCTCTCATCCCACAGAGAGGGGGTGGCCCATTGAGGAATGGGACCTGCGATAGAAGAAAAAAGACGTGTAGGAAAGACCCTGTCCTGTATTTTGTGATTTAAAAGTTCAAAAGACACTCTATGCCTACACTTTATTAAACAATTTTATTGGAAAGAGTAAAACGGAAGGATTATGGAAGATCTTCATTATAGTTATAAAGATCTTTATTACTTGCTGTACTTGGTATTGCAGTGCTGCATTGATTTTACTGTGCTGCCCAATGAAGAACTGAAATGTCATCTTTGCTTTTCCTTGTTTTATTGTATTTAAATTACGCTGACCCACACCTTACCTGTACATTCAATTTTATTTCCCCTACTCTTTAAATGTCTCTATTCTGAAACCTCAGATACTGATAATACAAGATCATATGACATATAGTTTCCTGTCATATGGATAAATAACAGGTGACTCTGGTTAGTGGGGTCTGGCAGTTGGCAATAGGAACAAGCTGATAGGTAGGGAGCAAGGATCAGTGTCTTGCTGAGATGCTGGACCTTGCCAGATCATGGACAGTTTTATGAACAGCAGTCCCTTTTTTGAAATGCGCTGCAAACTGAACTCCACATGCAGACCCCGGAGGTGATTACATGCCTTTCATTCCAGCGGTATGGTGTTGTTACCTCAGACAGATTTATGAGAGTGAACAGGGTTTTTTCGGCAGTTCCGTTTAATGCACTAAAAAGTAATCTCTGTGTTTTTTTGATAAGGAAAGAGAAGCTTCAGCTTCAGTTTCTGTTGTTTATTACAATAAAGTTAAATGGAACTCACTGTTTAGTTATAGCTTTATGTCTTCTTGAATTTAGACTGTAATTGGCCTAAAGAAGAATTTGGAATATAGAATGATCAGCACATAAGTAGTGAAAATTGCCTTAAGTAGGCAACAGTTGTTTTTGATAAATAAAGTACCCTGAGCTATTGGAATACTTATTTTGTCATGCACACAGTTGTAGCTTAAAGGAAGATGCTTTCTTATGCGGGGATTATTTCTCTCTTACAGCTGTATCAGCTGGAGTAGTTACCACAAAAACCTGTTGGCCAGCAGTGACTATGAAGGTACCGTCATCTTGTGGGATGGGTTCACAGGGCAACGTTCAAAAGTCTACCAGGTAAAGAAATTCTGTGTTTTGATTCCGAAAAACAGTAGTTGCCGTCAGCTAATGCAAGTTTCTTGCTAAAGAAGGATCTAGTCAATTTCTTTTTCATTTCAACTTTGTCAACATTTATTTGTAAATGCTGCTGAAGTCAATAATAATTTGTGGGTCTAAAAATAATGAGCAAGAGGTGAAGTTAGTGAAAAAGGCAGTGTAGTTCCATTGTTTTCTATAGTCCTTCCTGTCTTAGAAGTGGCTAAGACCATAGTGATTCTGATTAAAAACTCTTGATCTTCTATGGTTGAAGGTTACTTTGACAATGCATGACAAATATGCATATAAGGGCCTTTCCCCTCTAAGTCTGTGAGAAAACTCTTCTGCATGCAGAAGCTCTGAGCACTAGACTTTCTGCAGGTGCAGGGAGCTGTTGGACTGGGTTAACTAAAAGCAGGTGTAGAATTATATGGTGCTGGGAGCCTCTTAACATCTGATCTCAGGAAAATTTGATACAATAGCTTGTTTTGTGGTTTTCATTATATATCATATGATAAATGTCAGAATAGTAGATAATTACAGGCGAAAAAATAAAAATCAGTGTCTCTTTCCTCTCTATCCCTCCCCCCCCCAGTGGAAAATCAAATGCCTTTAGTAAATTACTATTCTGCTATTAATGATGGATGATAGAGGGTGACATTTCTCCTGGCCCTGGGGTAAGGGCCAAAAACTAGCCTCATAATTCAGTCATTTCAAACATTTACCAGAAGACCACCATGGGCTTTCAACAAATGACTTTTAGTACCTTTCTGTCATTTACCAATATAGGGGAGAGAAATGGGGAATTTTGGGGGGGGGGTTGGACATTTTCATCCATATATTAAGACTTATCTGAAGCAGTTGCAGATAAGCTAGTTCATGTGTTCCAGTGAATAAATGGCTAGTAGATAACCTGCAAATAATGCATGAATGTAGGAGCAGGAGATGCAGCTGGGGGCAGGTGAGTGTGCTTGGAGTAGATCAGGAGTGCAGAACCTTTTTCAACCTGAGGGCCACGATCCAGGTGGCTGCATGGCAGCAAAGGGTGGGTTGGGGGGGGGGAAATGGCTGGAGTTACAGCTGTGACTCTTAACCCATGGCCAGTAGGACTACATTGCAGCCACACCAAAGTCAGCGGTTTCTACACAGGCTCTCCATCCAGACAAGCAAGGTTGCATTATAACCAGGCCAGGGTTCCAGGGTGTGTACTGGGCAGGAGGTGTGGCCTTGTGAGAGTCCCAAGGCCCATACAGAGAGGGTTGCATTCATTTCCTGAGCATCTCTGGAGTAGGCGTATAATATAACTGCTTGAAATGCCTGCCTGGAGTGCTTACTTTTGAGTAGATGTGCTTTTGGGTAAGATTCCAACTTGGTGGGCTACTGCAGACTCCTTTTGGGGCGAGAGGGGGACTTCCTTTTGATTTTGATTGAAATGCATGATATGCAGAGGATATGGAGCACTTCTTAGATTATTTTCTTCAATTCTTTGGCCATACTCCCCAACCATTTTAAATTGTTCTGTATTGAGTTGTAAACTCAGTTCTCCAGAGTGTGTTTCTACCTAGATGGAATTAAATATATGTGCCCAACGTTCAGAGAAGATAGAGTTGTGGAAATGGATCTTTCAGCAGAAATTAAATGGCATTCTTCTAGCTCTTGAGAATACTGGTATCTAAAGAACAGCATATTGCTTTGAACGTTCTGCAAGGAGGTTAATACATACATTTAGAAGCAACTATAGATACTTAGTATTTATTGATTTTTCTGTTTTTAAAAAATGGCAAAAGCCCACCAGAGAGCAGTAACAAGGCAAAGCACATACTTTCATAGTGAGAATAATCTGAGCTTCTCATTTTTGAAGATGCAAATAAGCAGCAGTTAAAAATATATCAGAATATTTGTAGCTCTCTAGCTTCCCTCTTTGGGAGCTGCTGTTTGGGTTTGAGTAGAAACAAATATTCCATCTGAGTCTCAGTAAGTATAGTAAAGTTTCATCATATTAATTTAACCAAAACGTATTTTCATTTATACCTAATAACATTTGTGTTCCTCTTTCTCAAAACAGGAGCATGAGAAAAGATGTTGGAGTGTGGACTTCAATTTGATGGATCCTAAACTTTTGGCTTCAGGCTCTGATGATGCAAAAGGTAAGACTCTGATTTTCTCTCTGGGTTCTCCCACCCTGCCTGATGATGATGATGTCCAGTTAATATGCCAAGGCTAAATTCATATGGAGCATCCTATGTAGTTTCAGAAATGAAAGCTCAAAACATCAGTTTTCCTTAGCAGAGTTTGATGATCTTATGAATAATTGGTAAGGTGCTAGGGGGAAAGGCTCTTGATGACTGAAAGAATGGCTTAGGTTTCATCACAGAATGTTCTCTTAGCCCTGGTACAGATGTAGCATTCCCAGACTTCTAACTATGGTTAGGCAAGTGGAAGTGTCAAGAGCTCATCCTACACTCGAGTAGGACCGTGGCAGAGACACATGCCCGACTGGCACGTTCTCTCCCTCCTGGTCGATCATTCGGGAGCTTCAAAAGCTTTCTTCAGCCCGAACATCACAGCGACTGATGCCAACAGACATTGGCACACTTAGGGATATGCAGAGTCTGCACAGCTTGCGTAACAGACCTCAGCAACTCAGCATTTGGGCTAATCTACTTTATTTACATATAAACACACACAGAGCACTGCAACATGGCTCCCTCTCTCTCTAGCATCAGACAGCAAAGAGAAAGAACAAAGGACAATAGTCCCACTTCACGGAACACAGTAACACGAACATCCTGTCTCCGTCACCTCCCACTTTGTGGAGTCAAAACATATACCATCAGGTTAGCAATGTCATTATTCTGAGTGGAGGAAGCAGGGTGCAGTCCTCAAAAACATTTGTATTGCAGGGGTGACTTGGAGCGCTGCCTATTCTGTATTCCCTTTACAGCTGAAATGAGGGGTTTGTCAATGGATGATGATGCTTGCTTAAAAGTGCATGGAATTTTTGCTTTTTCGGTGTCTAAGCCAAGGCATGTAAGGGTCAAAGTAAAGGATGAAATGGGCACCCACGTCTGTAACTTGCTAACTAGGCCATGATACCCTGCCATCAAATTAGAGCAGCATATTACCAGTTTGCTAATTCCCAGAGCAGGTGCATGATGCAACGAGTCATCAACCTGCACATTGTATTTACTTCTGTATGCACACGTGGAGATAACATAAATGTTTTGAAATGGTAGCATTGAAACCTAACCTAAGGCCCAGGCTCACGTAATTTTATTTCTGAATCTATTGGCATATCAGCTGGTACACTTTCTGTTTCTTATCCATAATTGCATGTATCTCTCCCTATCAAGGTTTTTTCCTCACACAGAGATGTTAGATCAGTGTTGTCTGGCAGATCACCTTATGTGAGTGCACCAGAATCCGGCTGGATGACAAAGGATCTATTGCTCTTGCTTATAGAAGTCTGAATTTAGCAGCCCCAGGCATCCTTAGGCACTAAAATGCATTTATACACCTGGGAAAGGTTCCCATCATTTTAGAATAGAGGCCTGAAGTGTGTTCAATCCACAATGTGTTTACTGTAAGATGGAATCTCTGTCACTCGAAATACAGGGTGAGTCTTTTAAAAGAGGCCCCATGGAACATGCGTACTCTGTATGCACGGGGCCTCTTCTAAAGGACTCACCCTGTATAAACCAGGTTCCATTTGCCAAATTAGGTTGGAAGACATTCGCTTGTAAAGATGATTCCTCCCACTGGACTTGGTAGGCAGGGTCTTCAAAGACTTCTGCCGGCTCTTCAAGGGGGGAGATTTGTCCTGCCATCCAGACCTACCATGCCTATGGCTCTGTCTGGTTGGGTCTTTTCCTTCGTGTTTGTGAAAATCTCTTTGCATGAGCCTTTCCTGTGAGTGTTCTTTCCTTTAAAACAAAAACAAAAAACCTGGTCTCTCCTCTTCCATTCTAAGTGTTGGTGTGTCCAGATGATTGTTTTTGTGTTTCTTTTTCCCAGATCTCAAGTGCCATTCTCCTGCATGTATATCCTCATACTTTTACCATCCTCTCCCATGCCTTTTCCTGCCAACCTAGCAGTTCAAAAGCACATCAAAGTGCAAGTAGATAAATAGGTACTGCTCCGGCGGGAAGGTAAACGACGTTTCCGTGCCCTGCTCTGGTTTCTCCAGAAGCGGCTTAGTCATGCTGGCCACATGACCCGGAAAAACTGTCTGCGGACAAACGTCGGCTCCCTCGGCCATTAAAGCGAGATGAGCGCCACAACCCCAGAGTCGTTTGCGACTGGACTTAACTGTCAGGGGTCCTTTACCTTTTTTTTACCCATGCCTTTAGAACAACAGCAAAAAAGGGACACGGGTGGCGCTGTGGGTAAAACCTCAGTGCCTAGGACTTGCTGATCGTAAGGTTGGCGGTTTGAATCCCCGCAGCGGGGTGAGCTCCCATTGTTCGGTCCCAGCTCCTGCCCACCTAGCAGTTCAAAAGCACCCCTAAGTGCAAGTAGATAAATAGGTACCACTTTATAGCGGGAAGGTAAACTTCATTTCCGTGTGCAGCGCTGGTGCTGGCTCGCCAGTTGCAGCTTCGTCACGCTGGCCACGTGACCCGGAAGTGTCTTCGGACGGCGCCGGCTCCCGGCCTCTTGAGCGAGATGAGCGTGCAACCCTAGAGTCGGTCACGACTGGCCCGTACAGGCAGGGGTACCTTTACCTTTACTTAGAACAGCAGCAATATTTTTTTCTTTCTTTTGTATGTCTTCTGGTTGTGGGGGGTGTCTCCATCCTCCTGCCAGCTTGTCCCCCCCCCCCAAGTATAAAACAGGTTCCATTTGATAATAAACACAATGTGTATTGATCATACCTTTGAGTTAAATGGCCAATCATAAATACATTAAAAAATTATGAGCATCATAGCAGAACTTGATTTGGGGATAAATGTGGCACAACTTCATCTCAATGCTGGGATTTGATGTTTTGACTTGCCTTCTAATTGTGAACCTCTTAGACTGTTTATGTGTGGATGGGTGTCCCTTAGAATATTAGTAGTAGGTGTCATTTATTTCTGTTGTTAGATTCCTGGTTAGTGGTAAAATAACCAAAGGGATAAATAAACATTATAGGAAACCGACTGCAGCTTAACCTGCCTATTTTGTTTCTCTCTTTTTTTCTTCAGTGAAGCTGTGGTCAACCAACCTGGACAATTCGGTAGCTAGTATTGAGGCCAAGGCAAATGTATGTTGTGTGAAATTCAGCCCATCATCTAGATACCATCTGGCCTTTGGTTGTGCAGGTAGGTGTATGAACTGCCACTTCGTGTGAAAGGGCAGAATCACTTGTGTTTCCAGACTGCACTTGCTAATTGGGCTGTTTGTTTATTGCCAAGCTGTGATCAGGGTTCCAATTATGCAGCACTTAGAACTCTGATCTCTCCCAGGTGACCAGAGAGCAGATTTTATATACTCCTGCCGCCCTGTCTTTTGGTCAGAGAACAGCATTTTTGTAGCATTCTTCAGAGTGTCATTGGGTGCAGCTACTTCCCCTCACCCTTATTCTTTTGAGGTTTCCCTTCTCCTGAAAAGGAGCTGAGTTTGGGAATCTACAACAATAGGGTTTGTGTGGGAAGAAGCCATCAAAGCGCATAACAGGAGCATGTGTAAAAGCCTAATATCTTATGCAGACTTATCTGGAAGTAAATCCCATTTTGTTCAGTGAGTTTGGTCTTTTCTCCAGTTGGTTTGGCAAAGAACTGGAAAGTGGAAGCTTCACACAGATCACTAATGCCACCCCTTCCCAGTAGCTGAGAGCAGCAGCTTAGGATCATTGTGGAAGCAGCACTTCTTTGGTTTTGCATGCCAATCCTTATGGCTGGGAAAGGATGGAAAGAGAAGTAGTAGCATGATGAGTAGGAGATGCTATAGACATTTTTGCCAGCAGTGCAATGGTGCTTACAGCGACCATTCCTGCACAAGAGGCAGGCTGCTGCAATTCAAGAAAAGCCTCCTGACACTTCCTGTTTGAATCAGCAAATCTGCTGGAGAATTAGACTCTAAACATGGCATTGGAACACAAGGGCTGGTGAGCTGGGAGCAAACCATCCCAATAGTGGCTCCTCCTGAGTGGTGCAAATCTTCAATTTAGCACTGACTAGGAGTCCTGATTTTGGCAGGGATTGGCTCCCATGGAACCAATTCCAGCGAGGGTTGCATTGGATGACAGTGTTAAAAGGTGCTGAATGCACCTTTTAACTTGCAGAAGTCTTCTGATTGTTCCTCTGCAGCGGCAGTTTCAGCTGCCTCACATTTGATATTGTATGAGTTCCAGTGGAGGGCAGGTAGGCCTGGCTTGGAATCATAGGCTATTGGGCCAAATCAATATGTCTGGCAAACCTGATTTGGTCAGCTGATTAGAGGTTCCCTATCCCGTCATACGGTATGCTTTTAAGATTCCTGAAGGGTGGGCCCTTAGAATTAAAAAAAACTTGCAAGACATTCTAGCCTCCTTAGTCTTCAGCACTGATGCAACAGAAAGCCAGGCTCTTGTATACTGCTTCCATTGCAACAAGAGGTGGCTGCATAATGCACTGAGCCACTCCTGTAATCAAGATAGATGCTCTGGAAAAGGATAAAGAGATGATTGATCCTCTCCCTCATCGTTGCTCATACCTCCCTAGGAAGGTACAGTAATACCTCGTTTTGAGTCCTCCCCATTTAGCGTCCATTTTGTGGAACGTCCACGGCAAACCCAGAAGTACCAGAATGGGTTACTTCCGGGATTGCCGCACACACAAAAGCGCTAAATCGCACTTCGCGCATGCGCAGAAGCGCAAAACCGCTCACACACGTGCACAGAGCAGCATTTTGCCGAGCGTCTCTTTCGTCGAGTTTCGTATGAGTTTCGTCCGGGGCTCCGGAATAGATCCCAGACTCAAAATGAGATACCACTGTATTGAGCTCCCTATTAGAGCTGAGTTCTCAATTTATGTAGCAAGTAGTAATAGTAGCAAGTAGTATTAGTCGTGAGTAGTACTAAGGTAAAGGTAAAGGTACCCCTGCCCGTACGGGCCAGTCTTGCCAGACTCTGGGGTTGTGCGCCCATCTCACTCAAGAGGCCGGGGGCCAGCGCTGTCCGGAGACACTTCCGGGTCACGTGGCCAGTGTGACATCGCTGCTCTGGCGAGCCAGAGCTGCACACGGAAACGCCGTTTACCTTCCCGCTAGAAAGCGGTCCCTATTTATCTACTTGCACCCGGGGGTGCTTTCGAACTGCTAGGTTGGCAGGCTCCGAGCAACGGGAGCGCACCCCGCCGCGGGGATTCAAACCGCCGACCTTTCGATCGGCAAGTCCTAGGCGCTGAGGCTTTTACCCACAGCGCCACCCGCGTCCCGAGTAGTACTAGTAGTAGTAATAATAATAGTAGCAGCAAGTAGCAAGTAGTATTAGCAAGTAGTATTAGCCATACACGAAAGTAACAGGTCTTCAATCTTACAACCTTACATACTGCATTTTAAATGTATTGAGTCAGATCATGGAATGGATGCATCAGCATAAGCTTTCATAGATTTTCATGCTAACTCCCCACCCCAACCCCACTAAAGAGAGTAAAGGTAAGAAGGAATTTAGAGAACAGTGGAAGAAGGAGGTAGGAGAAGAAAATTGGTAAGTCAGTAGTGTTGAAGAACATGTTCAGCAGTAGTAGTAGTAGAAATATATATACCGTATACACACACACACACACACACCATCTGGCTGGGTTTTCCCAGCTACTCTGGGCAGCTCCCAACATAATTAATGATAATAATAATAAAAAAGCGATAAAACACCAGACATTAAAAAGCTTCCCTAAACTTTTCCCTAAACTTCCCTTCATATGTGCTTATGCTAACACCATTCTTTGGAGAAGTTTTAATTTTTAACATTTGTGAGGTCCCAAAGGTCTTTGAGAGTTAATGTTCTTAAAAACTAGAGATTCTTCCTTGCATCTTTGATGTAAGAAGGGACATTACAGAAAACTATATGATATGTGTATCCATCAAAGGATTGGATTTGAAGGGCTGACTTCTGAGCAGGAGCCAGGCAGAAAACCCTTTGGCACTGTCATTTTCAATTAGAGTTGTCAACAGCTCCTGTTCCTGTCTGATTGAAATGTGTTGGCCATACTGCTACTTTCAGCACAATTAACTTTTGCATCTTTTTGGTATAGAGAATTCAATTTTTCTTTCACACTGGGCTCATTTTTCTGCCCCGTTTTGGTGGCATGGCAAGAGTGAGATTTTTTTTAACAGCAGCTCTTTGAGAATCTTCAACACAAAGGCAGAGGTTCACGAGGGTATGCAGGGCCAGTTATGGAATGGTAGAGCTCAATAAGAACTTAGTTGGATACAAAGCGCAAAAAACTAGATGTTGAGGAACGAGACTAGTTTTATATGCGTAGGGATTCTTTGCTACATAGAAGCATATTCAGCAATGTGAACCGTTGCCTGTGGCTGCAGTCTTGACAAAGGATTACCACATTAGTGAGAACTAGGTCTATATCTCTGCAGACATAGTGGGAGGGAAAATGAAAAATGAGCAGGTAATGTATTCTTTTTCACAAGTGGAAATAGGAAATAATTTGGCACTTTCCCGCATATTAGCTTTGTCTGCCCAGCTTCTGGAATCAAGAGAGTGATGCTATTTTATTTATAAGCCTTTTACCTCTGTGCTTTACCAGCACTCGTTGCGTGTTTATCTTTATAAATTGTCTGTATTTCTTGGTGGCAATGATTTAGAGGGAGCATAAAAGGGAACAAGGTGTAGAGCAGTAATGCATGTGAAAGCCAAGAATATAGTCAGTGGGAGAAGCTAATGGAACTTCTGAGAGTGAATGTTTTGTTTAGCAATATTTATAAAATGTATTAAGATGTTTTAGGGGTGAGGCAGTAATTATTGGTGTTACAGGTGGTTTTCACATGTGTAACCGGTCCGCACATGCTTTAAAAAAGTCAGTCTTCATGTTCTCTACTTCTAATTCCATCTTGTATAATGTACAGTGGTACCTCGGGTTAAGAACTTAATTCATTCCGGAGGTCCATTCTTAACCTGAGGCACCACTTTAGCTAATGTGGCCTCCTGCTACCTCTGCGCCGCTGCTGCGCGATTTCTGTTCTCATCCTGAAGCAAAATTCTTAACCTGAGGTACTATTTCTGGGTTAGCGGAGTCTATAACTTGAAGCACCTGAAGCTGGGCATGCGTTACCTGGGTACATTTGTTGTTTCCATCTATTTCAGTACAGTCTAATGGTCAAAAGCTAGTAAGAGTCAGAAAATGCTAGCCCTGTGAGTCTCCATACATTTAGGGCATCAAAAGTAGTCTAATCCCAAAGCCAATCTAAAAGCTGAATTTGCAGGAATTGAGACTGCTATGTCATCCAGGAAACTGAGCTGAAACCGACAGTCAATTTATTTCAAAGGACCTTACTTCGATTTCTGTTCTTAAGGTAGCATACTTGGCTTCACATTAACTTTAAATTGTACCAGGGGTCCATCAGCTGCAGGGTGTCATTTCCCAGTGGTCAGGGATGATGAGATTTTACTCCGTCAACATCTGGAGGTTCACAGGTTTGCCACTCCTGGGTTAGGCCAGCAACTGCTTCCAACTTGCAAAAACAGGAGCTTAGTTGTAGTCGTTTTACATTGTGAGAGGCAAATGGAAATGTTTGTGATAACTTTTCAAAAGGTTTGTATCTCAGAGCCCTTACACTTCATATTAAAAATGGATAAACAAATAATGGTGTAGAAAGGAGAAAACTGCATCACATTGAATGGGAGGCTCAGACTTAAGGAAGACTGCAAAGTTTATTCAGCTGTGAAAATAAAATGGAAATTGTTTTGCCTACAGCTTTCTATTGGTATGCCGTCTGAGTTGGAGCATTCTTTAGTATAAACTGTAATCACAACTGAATATAAAATGCTGGTAATGACTCTCTATTGTTTCAAGATGAAAACTTTTCATTCTGAAAGTATCTTTCTAAATCTGCTTTAGCAGTGTGGTGAGCCTGCATATTCCCCATCTTTCTGGGGAACAAACCTGTTGGATTAAATGCCATGTCATGCATGACTAGGGCTGCAGTCCAAAGAACTATGTAACTGAATCTGTGTGCCCAAGAAGGACTTGAGAAATGCAAGTTCCAGTTCCTACACGTTGCATAGCAAATCACTTTTATAAATTATGAGATTTTCCAAAGCAGATTGTGATAGAGCACTGATCTGGTTCAGTCCTGGAATATAAGCCTAGAAGATTATCCAGCTCTT